CCTTTCTCTAGATTGTACTGGTGGCAACTTATTATTTTGTGTTGTGTTGTGCGAATTTCTTGGCTGTCACCATATTAGCCAATCTATTCGCTCTGACAGCTAATCTTTTTTTCCGTGTGGATATCCATCGAGGGGTTATGCATGTGCAGGAGGCGATTGAGATGGGAGTCTCTGGTTTGTATTGCGAGTAGTGCATGCGCAGAGCGAGCTGTTTAGAGGAGGGGGAACCAAACAAGGGAAGCAGTAAAGACTGCAAAGCGTGCAGCCAGAGCTCCGCTTTGCGACGCTTTGAACACGGTTACGTGCCGATCCCTCGATTGCTTTCCAAACAAGTTCCTCAGGGTGGAGGGGCGCGACGCGCGACAAAGTACTCACGCTCGTGACGAGAGTCCTGGAGGAGAGCTAATTGAGAGTCTTGGAAAACGCCAAATTGCCGCTATCTATCTTTCTAATCCACTCGTGGTTTGCGCGCACGTGCAGTAAAGGCTGCAAAAAAATGTAGTCACATGGGGAAAGGAAATGAATGATTACGGTTTTAGATTACAACGTCGGCTTTGCGCGCGCCTCGCTCTAGGCGGAGGCGTGGGTTATTGCACTACTGACTTGTGTGATAGTTGGTTTAGTTCGTCATAGTTCATAGTCTAGTCGTTGATTGTTGTAGCACCAGGCTAGTGGGCTTGTGTTCCAACTCTGAGTCGGTTTGGTCGGAGTCGGAACAGTCTTGCGGCCGAACGTCGTTAGACTGCCCCGCATGCACATGTGCGGGCGGGTTGCCGACTCGTTCGGGCCGTAAGGCGCCATGGGGCCGTGGTCAGAGACGATCGCATGTCGCATGGGTGCAAGTGTTAGTCCGATCCTGATCCTCCTCGTCTAGAGAGGAGCGCTTTGCGCTCTCGCTCAGAGAGACCTTCTCTCTGCTCTCCCCCGCCGGCCGGCATCTCCGCGCAGCGATTCAAAAGTGGCGCGCGCCGCGCCGCGTCCCGAGCCACCCAAACACACGAGCGAGCACACCCGAGCGCCGCGCGCCGCTCGGCAGCGCATGACGTCACTCCCCCTTCCCCATTCCCGCGACTGTCAAGGCTATTGACCCGCCCCACTACAAACACATGAATGAGCCGCTCGCCCCTCCGCAGGCCGCAGTCGTGGCCGAGTGGTTAAGGCGACTGACTAGAAATCAGTTTCCCTCTGGGAGCGTAGGTTCGAGTCCTACCGACTGCGTATCTTTTTTTCCACCCGCCTCTGTCCTGACTCCTGGGGGTACACTTGAAAGTTAATTTGTGTGTTGTTCGTGTTGTTTCAGACACAGCAGACGCAGAAGGCAGCATCTGCAGTTTTCACAATTTTGTCCCATGACCCAAACAATGAGATCATGAAGCATAATTTAAAATACTACCTCGCCAAGCCTGGAATTGATGTCAATAGCATAGTCAACTACGAGTCAGAAGTAAGAACATCTGGATGATTGTGGTCCATTTAAATTAAACAAATAACGTTTTTAATACTTTTATTTCAGAAATTTGTTTCCCTATACACCTTAGGCACAGAAGCCTATTTCAAAGAAGAGTATGATGCTGCTATTTCTAATTTAGAGGCATCACTGAAAGAATTTTTTAAAGCTAGTGATGAATGTAGGGCCGATTGTGAAGGACCTTTTGATCAAGGGTGGCTACCAGACTTCACATCATCCATTGCAAGTCTGTACTTAATTTTAGAGCACCTAAATAAG